CAGATGGCTTCAGTGCAGAATTCTACCAGAAATTCAAAGGACAGCTAATACCAATTCTCCTCAAAGTATTCCACATAATAGAAACAGAAGGGTCATTACCAAACTCTTTGGGTATCAAGGCTTCAATAACCTTGATACCCAAGCCACACAAAGACACAACTAAGAAAGAGAACTACAGACCAATATCCCTCATGGACATTGATACAAAAATAATCAATAAAATACTGGCAAATCCAATCCAAGAACACATCAGAGAAATCACCCACCATGATCAAATAGGCTTCATCCCTGTGATGCAAGGATGGTTCAACAAACAATCCATCAATGTAATCCACCATATTGGATTACATTGCCGAAAAAGCCTTTGACAAAATCCAACACCCCTTCATGATAAAGGTATTGGAGAGATTAGGGATAACAGGAACATACCTCACCATAATAAAAGCAATATACAGCAAGCCGATAGCTAACATCAAATTAAATGGAGAGAAACTCAAGGCAATTCCTCTAAAATTGGAGACAAGACAAAGCTGTCCACTCTCTCCATACCTCTTCAATATTTTCCTTGAAGTTCTAGCTAGAGCAATAAGACAACAAAAGGAGATCAAGGGGATACAAATTGGAAAGAGAGAAGTCAAACTCTCACTATTTGTAGATGATATGATAGTCTATATAAGTGACCCTAAAAACTATGAGGGAACTCCTACAGCTGATGAATACCTTCAGCAAAGTGGCAGGATACAATAGCTAACATCAAATTAAATGGAGAGAAACTCAAGGCAATTCCTCTAAAATTGGAGACAAGACAAAGCTGTCCACTCTCTCCATACCTCTTCAATATTTTCCTTGAAGTTCTAGCTAGAGCAATAAGACAACAAAAGGAGATCAAGGGGATACAAATTGGAAAGAGAGAAGTCAAACTCTCACTATTTGTAGATGATATGATAGTCTATATAAGTGACCCTAAAAACTATGAGGGAACTCCTACAGCTGATGAATACCTTCAGCAAAGTGGCAGGATACAAGACTAACTCAAAAAAATCTGTAGCCCTACTATATACAGATGATACATTCATGGAGAAAGAAATCAGAGAAACATCACCCTTTACAATTGCTACAAACAACATAAAATACTTTTGGGTAATTCTAACCAAAAAAGTATGACCTGTACCATAGAATTTTGAGTCTCTAAAGAAAGAAATTAAAGAAGATACTAGAAAATGGAAGGATCTCCCATGCTCTTGGATAGGCAGGATCAACATAGTAAAAATGGCAATCTTGCCAAAAGCAATCTACAGATTCAACGCAATTCCCATCAAAATACCAACACAATTCTTCACAGACCTTGAATGAACAATTCTTAACTTTATATGGAAAAACAAAAGACCCAGGATAGCCAAAACAACTCTGTACAATAAAGGAACTTCTGGAGTCATCACCATCCCTGACTTCAAGCTCTATTACAAAGCTATAGTCCTGAAAACAGCTTGATATTGGCACAAAAATAGACAGGTTGGCCAATGGAATCAAATTGAAAACCCTGAAATTAACCCACACACCTATGAGCACCTGATTTTTAACAAAGAAGCAAAATTTATACAATGGAAAAAAGAAAGCATCTTCAACAAATGGTGCTGGTATAACTGGATTCGGACATGTAGAATATTGCAGGTTGATCCATATCTATCGCCATGCACTAAACTTAAATCCAAATGGATCAAAGACCTCAACGTAAATTCAGCCACACTGAACCTCCTAGAAAAGAAGGTAGGTAGCACCCTTGAACAAATTGGTACAGGACACCGCTTTCTGAACATAACATCAGCAGCTCAAACATTGAGATCGACGATTAATAAATGGGACCTCCTCAAACTGAGAAGCTTCTGTAAAGCAAAGGACACAGTCAAAAAGCCAGCCCACAGAATGGGAAAAGATATTCAACAACCCCACACTTACAGAGGACTGATCACCAAAATATACAATGAACTCAAGAAGTTAGCCACCAAAATACCACACAATGTAATTAAAAGATGGAGTGCAGAACTAAATAGAGAATTCTCAACAGAGAAATTCAAAATGGCTGAAAGACACTTAAGTGCTCAATATCCTTAGCCATCAGGGAAATGAAACTCAAAACCACTCTGAGATACCATCTTACTCCCGTCAGAATGGCTAAAATCAGTAACACCAATGACAATCTATG